AGTGTTGCCCCCGTACCGGACCGGGGACCAGCAATGGGATCGCAACCCTCGGGGTCGCTCCCGTGCCTCGCTCAGCCAGTGAGCGGGAACCGGTCTGTATGTGGGATCCGAACCCTCGGGCGGGAGCGCTGCCGTGCTTCCCAAGCGGCGCACTTATCCAGTGCGCCACCGGGCCGGCCCCCGGTCATCTTTTAAAAAAAGAAATATAGATTTTTTTTCTTTCTACAATCATCCCCATTTTTACCAAAGATAATCAAAATAAGATGAATTTGTAAAGTAAGTTTAGTTTTATCTGAAAATATGACATTCTAGTCAAAGTCTTGGTGTTTACAAAGAAAAAAGGTTTATTTGGCTAAGGATTCTGGGACAGCTGCATCTGGTGCAGGCCTCAGGCTGCTTGTACTTGTGGAAAGCAGCAGGGCAGCCGTCAGCTTAGCTAGCGTGTGCAAGGAGATCATATGGTGAGAGAGGAAGAAAAACAGGGAGGGAGGGAGGTGCCAGGTTCTTTTTAACCACCTGCTCTCCTGGGAACACACAGAGGGAGAACTCACTCACTCCTGACCCCCAGGGGAGATATTAATCTATTCGTGAGGGATCCACCCCCATGACCCAAACACCTTCCAGCAGGCCACATCTCCCAAAACTGCAACATTGTGGATCAAATTTCAACATGAGTTTGGAGGGTCTATCATATCCAAACTGTAGCATTTTTCCCAGCCCCAAAACTCATGTCTTTCTCACATGCAAAATATAGTCATTCCATTCCAATAGTCTGAATAGCCTTAGCTTGTTTCAGCACCAAGTCCAGAGTCTCATCTGAGACTCAAGGCAAGCGCCTTAAAGCTGGTTAGACTGTAAAATAAAAAAACAAGTTATCTATTTCCAAGATGCAATGGTAGAACAGACATTGGGTAGACATTCTCATTCCAAGAGGGAGGGGTAGGCCAGAGGAAAGGACTGACAGCCCCCAAGCAAATCCAAAACCTAGAAGGGCAGACATTAAATATTTTTTTTAACATTTATCTGTACATATTAGACATTAAGTCTTAAAGCTCCAGACAACTTTTCATTTCATGTATGGCTTCCTGGGTACAGTGAGAGGTTTGGGCCCCCAAATCCTCAGGCAGCCCTGTCCCCATGGCTTTACTGGGCACAGCCAGCCCATGGAACTGCTTTCCTGGATTGGAGTCAGGTGCCTGTGGCTCTTGTAGGCAGGCGCTGCACACTCCTAGCTCTACAGTTCTGGGGTCCTGACAGCCTCTCTGCTCCCATGGCTCTACTACACACTGCTCTGGTGATGACTTCACAAGGGGGGTACTTTGACCCCACATTTCTGTTCTGCATTGATCTAGTAGACAACCTCTGCAGTGGGTCCGCTCCTGCAGCATGTCTCTGTCTGGGCCCCCAAGCCCTTCCATACATCCTCTGAAATCTGGGTGGAGGCTGCTGTGCCTCCACAGCTCTTGCATTCTGCAAGCCTACAGACGGAACACCATGTGGATGCCACCCAGACTTACCACTTGCGTTCTCCCAAGTGGCAGCACAGACATCACTTAGGGCCACTGGGATGCAAGAAGCAGCATTTCTAGTTGGTTCAGGGAAGCAGCACCCCAAGTCTGTCCCCTGGAACAATTCAGTCCTCCTAGGCCTCTGGCCCTGTGATAGAAGGGACAGACTGGGAGATTTTGAAATGCCTTCGGAGCCATTTAATCTCCTTAGCAACTGGTTGCTCAGCAGCACACTTGGATTCCTCTCCTGAAAATGCTCTTTGATTCTCTACCACATGACCAGGCTGAGAATTTTCCAAATCTGTATGCTCTGCTTCGCTTTCAATTATAAATTTCATCTTTAGGTTATTCTTCTCTTCCCTAATTTTACTGTATGCAATTAAGAGCAGCCATACACCACCTTCAACATTTTGCTTAAAATTTCTTCTACCAGAATATCCCAGTTCTTCACATTTAAGTTCCACCTTCCATAAAGCCCTAGGGTATGGACACTATGCAGTCTACTTCTTTGATACAGTGTAACAAAGGTGACATTTCCAATAAGTTCCTCATTTCCATCTGGGGTCTCCTCAGAATGGCCTTTAATGTCCATATTTCTAGAAATATTCTGATCACCACCACTTAATCTCTAAGAAGTTCCCCCTTACCTTCTTTTCTCACATCAGAATCTCCCTTAATACTCTGTTCACTGCAAATACAGTCTCTTTCTAGCCTGCTGCTCTAAGTTCTTCCAACCTCTATCCAGTACCCAGTTCCAAAGCCACTTCTACATTTTCAGGTGTCTGTATAGCAACATCACACTCCTCGGTACCAATTTTCTGTCTCAGTCCATTTTGTGCTGCTGTAACAGAACACCTAAGACTGGGTAATTGATAAGAAATGTGGTTTATTTACTCCTAATATTAAGACTCATTAAAAAACCCTTATAATGAACTTATTCAATTTACTCAGCTTGACTATATAAGACCCTCTCTTTTGTTTTCTATTTTTCCAACTTTTTATATCCATCTAGTTTTTATCTTTTATTCATTGATTCTGAAACAACCTTTGAATAACCTAAAAACTAAAGTAAAATTACTCTTTCCTTAGCAAAAATACATCTTTCATCTCTCACAGCTTTCCTTACCAAAAGTATATTTTATTTTCCTTGTATACTTTGCATACAAAGTATTTTCCCTTATTATCTCTAATAGTTTTAATTACATATATTAATTTGGAATTCTTGCCTCTTAATAACCTTGATTTCTGGTGAAAACTAAAAAATAGGAAGTAAGCAATTATGAACTGTCATATACCATCATTTTGCAAATTAACACCATCTGATAATTTCTGGAAATATATGCTTCCTCATAGTATGATATTTTAATGTGCCACAAGGCCTATTTATTAACAGACCCAAATATCTTTTGTTCCTCTGTAATAAGAAGCCAAAAATAGGTAAGCTTAAATTTATGTTCAGCAACAAATGTTTCAGTATCATATCTTACTTGAAAATGACCTAGAGGGCCGGCCTGTGGCTCACTGGGTAGAGTGTGGTGCTGATAACACCTAAGGCCATGAGTTCAGATCCTATATAGGGATGGCCGGTTAGCTCAATGGCTGAGCGTGGTGCTGACAACACCAAGCCAAGGGTTGAGATCCCCTTTCCGGTCATCTTTTAAAAAAAAAAAAAAGAAAGAAAGAAAATGACCTAGATATTCAATGAATATTCATTTAACTTAGTATAACTTTAAGGTTTTAAGTTACCAAAATATTTTGGAAACTATTTTTAAGTAGACATATTTTATAAAACATAATCATTATTGAAAAGTTCATTTATAAATTTTTATCCCACTTATATTCATGTAAGTTTCCTTTGTTTAACAATTATGTTTGAATTATTTATGAAAACTTCATGAGACACTAAACAAAGCTAGTCATTAAGTAGTCATAAAGGTTTTTTTTGTTGGAAATTTTTGTAACATATATGTATTTGGCAAGTGTCAAACATTATTGAAGTAAAGCACCTAAAAAGTTAAACATTCAGATTTTTTTTTTTTTTTTTTTTTTGTCTCAGATGGGCAGATATAGGGATTGTTATAGTTAATTCTTCAGATCTTTAAGTTATAAAGACACGGTAAGATTTACATTTTTCAAGGAACTGAGAAACAATATAGGTTTTCTTAAAGAAGGAGTTTGGGGACATGTTTGTTTATTATAAGAGATCTAAGATAATTTTTAAGTTTTTCCCCCAAGTGTAGGACAGACGAGTAAATTTTTTTGTGGTTGGGGCCCAAAATATGGGAAGATCTGAAGCTGATGATGTTTGATTACAGGAAGTAGGAGGAGTTGTAAGGTAGAGTAAAACAAGCCT